TGACTGACGCACACGAAATTTACGGCAGTTATGCGCAAATTCCGTTGCCTTTCCGTGGGCTCTTTTCGTCGCCAGTCGCTTCCATTCACTCGTCCTGCTGCTCTGAGATGTTGCTCAGTGACCACTCGTGCTACTGGGGTCTCTTATACCTTATGTCCCGTCTCGGTAGGACCAAGGGTAGGACGGCTCCTGTCGTCCCCCCCCCCTCAGCGCTGCCCCTGTCCGCCCCTGCTAACCCTACTGCCCCTCGGCTCCTACCCCTCACCAGGAGCAGCAAGAAGGGGGTGTCCTGTGTCGTGGCACGGCGGCGGCCGCGCCGGGGGGCGGCGGCCATTTCTCGGGTTTGTTTTCGCTCATACGTCCCTCCGTTTCGCTCTATGCGGTCTGTTGATCTGCCCCCGTCGATGGCGGTGGAGGGGGGGGGAGGGGGAGGAGACCCGTTGGCTCTGTTGACACTACTGCTGTCGGCCTATTATTTCTCAAGCTATTGGTGCTATCGGCATTGACTGCAGCTTGATGTTTTATGTTTTAAATTTCGTATATCCGTTTCGTATATCCGTGGCCTGTGCCCTGTGTTGATTATGATAATGGCGCTGTCCCGTATTGTTATGGTTATTTTGGGTCATGTTCTCACGGATTTGGGTGGTGTTTTGAGGCTCCGTCTCGGCAGTAGTGGCGTTTTGAGCCCCTGTCCTGTGTGTACGGAGTCGCACTGTTGTTTGTTAGTTTTGTCGCGTCTGATGTGGCCGTCTCAGGGACGATCCCAGGCGTCAGCCGCTCAGACTCCGACCAGGGACGGCGATCGTCCGTCGGCCAGTGGTCACTAGTCATTGGCCAGTGGTCAGTGGTTAGTGCATTAGTAACCCCTGGTCGGTGGTCACTGGGCACTGCGTTACTGCGCTACGGCGCCCCACCAGCGCCTGAAGTTGTTCCCACTCAGACTCTGTCCAGTCACAGCCATCCCTCCGAGCCTCGTCTATGATCTGCTCACTGCGTTACGGCTCTCTCTACCAGCGGCGGGCGCGCTCTCGGCCGTCGCTGACGATATTATGGCTCCGACGGCCGCTCCCACGCCCCCCCCCCCCCCACACGTGGGGTCGTCAGTCGAGTGTCGATAGTCCAGGGTGTGATAACGGGAATGGCCGGTGCCGGTGGTCCCCAGATGTCGGGCTATTCGGGGGTGTGACTGGGCGGTGAGAGTCGGACGGACGGCGCCCAGCCATTAGCGGGGCACGGACAGACAATAAAACAATTGGCAGGAAACAGCTCCGGGCTCCGGCAGTTTCCGAAAGTACAAGAGCTCTCTTCGGCGTTTGCCTACCGCGACATCACGCGAAATTGGTACGTGAAGCCCTCAGAGACGTTCTTGCTTGTTCGTGCACCGAACTGTGAATTATTCTAAGCCATGCTTAGCGATTGATTTCAATGTCTGCATCGTGTATTCATGTGAATGTTTCAGTTTATCTGTAGCCGTTTATTTTACCAACTAAATGACATAAAATTTAAATCATAAATGTTTTTATAACATTTTTAGTGACTGATTCTAATGTGGTTTTTAACACATGCGTAGGTAGCACAATTCGTGTTATTTGATTCTTCGTCTTTTCGTCCTTCACGCAAATAAATATTTTATCTTTCAACTGTAGCCGGTTATTCAGTGCCGTGGTTGATGTGTTTCACAAACTATCAGACGTTAAATTTTTTTTAAATGTCCACAGCAAATAGTCATTGGTTGCATAGCAGCGTTCAAATGTCTACATTTATTTCATGCTAGAAATTGTTGTGGTTACGGGGCTATGAAAGGTGCCTAACTGAAGGGGTACGATAAGAGGATTATTAAAATATAATGATAATATTTTGTTATGGGCGTTGCAAGACGGCTGGACCTTTAATCGATTTAAGGATAAATGTGCATGAGTTTCAATAAATAAGCTTGTATTAATTAAACGGACAATTGGCACATAAGGGTGGGCTGCTGGTGAACTGCACTTATATAATTTGCGCAAAGTTCTAAGCGAGTACTCCATTGTTATTCTTTTGTGTCCAGATTTAATCCAAACACCAATCTTTCTTTTTCTTTTCAGAACCGTCACGGGCTTGCAACATTGACTCACGAATGTACCTATGTGCCATTGCTGTCTCGAGAATCGGGCACCCCTATACCGCCGATGCGCGGTGACGTGTGCTCCCGATCCCGGCGCCGAGCAGTGGTTCACTGCCGGTGGCTGTTTTCTCCGACACCAGAGGCATTCCTCAGACATCCTGTCGGTCGACTGGGGCAGATGTGGGCCGCTGCCGAGCCGGGGAGATGCCGCCCGCTCCCCCGGTCTCGGACACCGCCGTCCCGTCGGCGCGGCTCTGTCTGCCCGCGCCCCGGTGACGGATTGTTTGTTGCATTCCTTCAGACCCGAAGAGCCGCCGCATTAGCGATGACCGTGTCGCGGGGACTCGGGCCCACTTCCGGTCGAGGTGGGGAGCGGGGCCCGGCTCCCCTCCCGCCGAGCGCCGCGCAGTGGCTGACTGCTGCCCCGGGGAACCATGTTGTTACAACAGAGTTAATTAGGACAGCCAAGGCCAACTAAACCGACTTGTGATCATATGGGCGGTGTTTTTGCTGACATAACGAGGAACCATGTGCGCTTTGGAGTTAACAAGGTCCTCGTGTCTCCAAAGGGAGTAGGGACATCATTGTTTCAAATTTTCAGATGGACGATTGTTTTTTCCACCGGAGGCTGGGGTTAGATACAGGGAGGAAAAATTTGTCGGGGAAGCTAAAAAGTCAAATATGTGCATGAAATAATCACGGAAGAGGTTGCATTTACAACAGAAAAGGATAGTCTGTGGAGGCGCTTGTCCTAGCCGGCGTTCCCGGACTCGCACGGCGGTCCCAGAACTCCAGCTCGACGGTCCCCAGCCGGCGCCGGGGACGGTCCCGCGTCGCTGCTGCACCTGCGCCGCGACGTCGGTCGCTGCAGCATCCCGCCGTCGACATCTGTGCAGCGTGCAACGGATCGGCAGCGTCGGACCGACCGTCGGCCTCTGCGGCGGGCGGGATCGGGTCGGAGCGGCGCTGAATCACGGCCGCGCCGCTGGGAGCCGGCGGCCGACAGCTCGGCGGGGATTCGAGTTTCCCGACTGATGCACCTGAATAAACAGTGTCGGAGTCGACTGGCCGGCCGACGGGGAGTGACGAGCGACGTGAGAGAGCGCCCCGCGCGCCGGCCGACGGTCATATATAGTGAGTCAGTGACCACTGCGAGAGGACAGGGGAACGGCGACCCGGAAACTGTCGACAGCCCCTCTCACCCCCCACCGAGCGGTGGCGCTGTGAACAGGTGCCTGTCCAACGTGGACGAGCTGAGCCAGGCTTATGTAGGATGTATGTATGTATGTATGCATGTATTGACATCTAAGGCGTCCCACTTATAGCGTGGTGATTACGGCCTAAGGGGACAGACGGTGATTTTAATCCTTATTTATCATTATTAGATTTTTGAATTATTGCAGGCTATTACACCTATATCCTCTCATTTTTATATTGAAAATCACTACCTTATCATTTTTAGCTATTATTTACATACAGATAGATATCATTTGCAGCATCCTCAACCTTTCATTTGGTTGCGCCGCGCTGATAGGCCCGAAACATCAATGCTTCGCGTGTCTTTCAACAGACCGCGTTCTTAGTTTCGACAATATCTATTCATAGCACCCCCTGTTCTGGCCATGTCACGGAGTAGAACCCTCTCCGGTGCAGGGACATGGCGGGGGAGGCAAAGATAAAGGAAGGTCCGGGAAGGGGAAACATGATCTCCCTCACCCAGAGAGGGGAGCTGTACGATTAATCATTCCCTTTAGGGTTTATCGTAATTATTTCTCGGATGTTTCCTCCTAAGACTCTGTTTATAAATATACATCATGATGTATTTTTAGGTATATATTTTATGTATAGGTATATGCATATACCTATACCTAATCTCCTTAGAATTGCAACGTTAAGTGGTTCCCTTTGTTCGTTAAATAGATCCATTGATTTAATAATTTTGGTGACAGATATTTGGAAGGATGGATAGGGGCGGATGGATATGGATATAAGTAAAGTAGGATAGTGGATAAAGTAGGAGAAGGGTACCTAATCTTGGATAGGGAAGGGACACATATTGCATACAAGGGGGTTCAATACCTACATGGTGGGTTGCGTCGGCCAATCGCCATCTCATCGCTATGCCCCATCATCCATGCAGGGGAGCGCCGAAATCATTCGATCATTCGTGAAGGCGTTTGTAAAAAAATATGCGACCCTTATAACGTTACTATACAGCTTTTACAAAAATGTTCGAGAACCTCGTTTTCTAATAGAAAACCCGCAATTGTGACCAATAGTTTTTCAACTACTGAGCACAAACCTTCGGTCACATGTACGCATATTGCTAACTTTCTTTCGGCTAATTCAAATAACCTATAAAAAGAACTCAAACTACATGCAGCTTATCTTTGCTGTCTGTGTTGGCCGTTGGGAGCTCAGGAAGCTATTGGGTAGGTGTCTATAACTGTAACGTGGTTTCCATGGCAATGCGCACTGCATTCTACATGCTTTCTGTATCGACTCCTAAGCGCCAGTTTTCAGAGAATAAGTTTCTCGCTCCGTCGTCTATCCGTGAATCGTTTCCCGATTAGCGCTACTGATGATCATCCATCTCCGGAGCAGGTGACTAGGGAGCCTCCGAGTGGGACCGTCGGCTGACGCGCCGCCCCTGTCCCCGCTCATAACGCCACCGACGCCACCCGAATCCGACACCGTGCGCTGTCCGGCCGTCCCAGGGTCGGCCCCGGCCCCGTCCCCATCGCGTCTCGCTCATTACGGGCTGGCAATTAAGCGGGCCCTGCGCTGGAGCCGGCAAAAAGCGCGCTGAATGGTCGCCTCTGTGCGCAGGCTCCGCCCCCAGCTGGCTGTCGGCCAGGGGCGGCACACGTGCTCTCCCTGTGAGCGCGCCGCGCCAGTCCCCGTGCAGTCCCCGTCCGCAGCGCTCCAGGGCCGGGCACAATGCGCAGCGGCGCCGGCGCTCCCAGCCACGAACTCTGCGTCAAACGCGAGCTGCCCTCGCCGGAGGGAACAGACATCTACCTGCCGGCCTACCCCGTCCTGGACTACACGGCCGGCGCCGGGAGCCTCCACAGCACCGGCTGGGAGTCGCCCTGCCTCCAGTGGAGTCCGGCCGAGTCTCCGCCGCCCACAGAGCCGTCTCCAGCCCGCAGCCGTCGGCGGCGGCGACCCACCGGCGAGCGCGCGCTGTCGGGCCGCCGGCGCTCCTCCGTGTGTCACAGTCTGCAGGAGCTGCACTCTCAGCGACAGATGGCCAACAACCGCGAGCGACACCGCACCCAGCTGCTCAACTCGGCCTTCCACGAGCTGCGACAGATCATCCCGACGCTGCCCTCGGACAAGCTGTCCAAAATTCAGACCCTGCGGCTGGCGTCGCGCTACATCGAGTTCCTGTACTGGGTGCTGCACGGCGGCGTGGACGGGCCGCCCTCACTGCCGTATGAGAGGCTCAGCTCGGCGTTCTCCGCCTGGCGAATGGAGGAGGAGCAGTGTCTGTCCGGTGGCCGGGCAGAGTACCGGGATGGAGCCAGCTGAGGAACACCCAGGTGAGTCCCGTCGGCCGGGGTTAGTGTGCACGGGTCACTGCATCTTACCGCTCCGGGTCAATAGGTCAGGTCACCTTGTGTTACTGTCCGCCTCGGGCCACTGTTCTCAAGTCCCTGCCCCGACCCGGGCCACTGTGCATGTACGGGTTCCTGTCCCGCCCTGAGTCATTGTTGTGCATGGGTTCCTGCCCGCCCCGGGTCACTGTGTACGGGTCCCTGCCCCGACCCGGGTCACTGTGTGCACGAGTTCCAGTTCCTGCCCCGCCCTGGGTCAATGTTTTGCACGAGTCCTCGCCCCGCCCGGGGTACTGCCATTGGCAAGCACGGGTCACTACCATAGATGGGCACGGGTCACTGCCACAGACGGCACGTGTCACCATCACAGGAGGGTCCGGGTCACGTGGGTCGGATCGCCCCGGGTCATTGGGTCTCGAGTAATGCAAGTACGTAACACAAACGGAGTAGTGCTAACTACAATATAGAAGTTGCAGGTTATATACCTTTACTATTTAGGTAGAACTTGCAACTAAAAATTAAATCTAAGTATTGGTTCATGTTCATATGTACTTATCTGATAACTATGACAAACGTGATAATTGCTGATAATATTTTGCCAAGCTAGTCTTTCTGTAGGCAACTACCCCGAGTGTGCACTGCGCATCAGCATAGGGTGCAAAACCATTTTACCTTGGATGGCGGTTAAATACTTGTCTTGCTTTCTGTTGATAAATTCATCCACAATGGTGGATCCAGAAAGGCGGTCTTGGACGCTGCGGAGGCATACCCCCAAAAAGTGTCTTCAAAACCAAAAACTCATCGGCTTTTGATCTCTAACGCACTGCTGCGTTGTTTAAAACAAACTTTTCCTCATAAAATATTACTTTCAGCAACCGTTCAACGTATAATGACATATGTGACTAGATAAGTGAAACGATTTAAATATAAAGGTACTGTATTACAGAAAACCTCCTCAAAATGAACAAGGCATTCGCAAAACCAAGTTTTACGAAAGCTTTCTGTGATACAGTACCTTTATGTTTAAATAGTTTCACTTATCTCAGCAGCCACTTGACCGATTTACATGCCGTAATTTGTGTAGGGTAGCTTCATTCCTTGTACGAAGTATGAAGCATTGGATCATTCCCGATGCATGTGGGTGACCCCTTATGAACGTGCCACATGTAAAACGAAGAGGTGCCAGTTTTGTAACTATTGAAATATCTCGGTAACGTTACTGGGCTGATTGCGCTGAAAGTCGGCATGTAGGTAGGCACCCACTAGTTAAACAGAGATTTTCATTAGGGATATACAATACACGCTGTTTATACGAGTATCCACGCATGAATAAATGTGTTAGATTTAACCTTAGGTTCAAAATATCAGAAATAATAGGAAAAAGTCTAGCAAACTGTTCACTCTTACCATCAAAACAAAATCAAACATTCTTGTCAATAATCATCATGCTCAAAGAAGCGTTATCTCGCATACACCTAATGTAAACCAGGATATCTACGTGTACAATAATTGATTGCTCTTATTAATTCCACATTTTATTTTTTTCCTTATCTTATTATGAATCAAGCTTACTTATGTAGAATGCTACTAACAACAACAAACTAAACTCTTCAGTATATTTTGGATTCCCTATTCTTACATGCTTGTAAAGCACAAACGAAAAGCGCAACATCGTAACACGAAAGTTGCGATCATATTTTCGCCCACATAAATTTCACATCACTCGCGGGGTCTGTTCTGTGGTTGGATTACCAACCCACATTCTCACGCTGCATGTTGTCATGATGCAATATGTTCGCGTCTCTCCCGGTTGATACAGCTGTTGGCAAAACAAACATAAGCTGTGAAAAAAAGCTGCGCTCAGCCCACCGATCGCGCTGAAACAGAGTCGAGGGCGACAGAGACGGCGCAGGAGAGTGGCGAGTCTTTCATATCCTTCTTTGAAATTATTGTTCGACACCTGTTCGATCCGCTGGCTTTGGTTACAGACTTACGTTATTTCACCACCAGGCACGCACCCTTCCTCCCCTCCCCTCCCCACGCCCCAGGCCAAGGTAAAGGTCAGGGCCAGCTGCACCCAGCTCACGTATCGCGGTAACAGTTTTACGCCCCATTCTGACTGACCGGCCCCCTGGAACTCGTGTTGACAGACGGCAATCTATATTCGAATGCTCGTCAATAAAAATATGAAAAAGTCAATATTTAAAGATTGTGCTGAAGCTTATGTAAGCAGAGATAAATCAAATCAAATATTTGATATTCGGTTGACTTACTCGATTCACGAAAATATGGAACATGGTTATTGCTGCAACAGACTGAGCTGGAGTAGATGGGAGCTACGAGAACTAGCGCCAGAAAATTCAGTTGATCATCCCCTGAAGTTATATCTTTCACTAGGCGCTATATACCACGAGATGACGCATAACACATAAAGTCGACAGCTCTGCTTCCATACAAGTGAAAAGGGCTGTCACTGGTGGATCCAAAAAAGCGGTACCTATTGGAACTTGCGGGAACATACCCCCAGAACAGTGTCTCCAATGTCCGAAAGCTCATCGGACTTTGGATTAACTGCACAACACTGCTGCTGTGCAGCGTGCAATTAAAACCAAACTTTCCCTATTAAAAGTTGTTTTGTTTTTTATCTTTAAAAGCCATAAATTTTCGTCGATTTCGGGTGCAGCGGGGGGCATTTGCCCCAAATGCCCCAAATGTCCCCACTGGATTCGCCAGTGAGGGCTGTGAAACGTGAATGAATGAGCGCTGCGTGCTCGGTCCAGCAGGCGTTTTGCCGGCGCGCCGGGGAGGTAGACTGTACCGCCGGGCCTGCGAGCTCGGCGGTGCAGTATCACCGCTCACACGGGCGGGCTGCAGCCAGCCGCGCCGGTGCGGCCGCTGCGGCCGCTGCCGCCGCTGGCCGGGCTATCCAGACTATGGAAGAAGAGCATTTGTACCGCGGCGCATCGACTAAGCCCGATTTCAATCACATCCCCACATCATTTTATATCAATAATCATACCACCTTCCACCCATGTTTTTGCTCACGGTCTGATCATTTCCCATTAAATATAAGACTGAAAGGTTACGGGACGGTCATGTAGTGGCACTGCAGCTAACAGACTCTTCTGGTTATGTTTCAGCTGTGAGACGCGTCAATGCGGCTGGCAGTTGCGGTGGCTCGTGCTGCCCTGAAGTGGACGGAGGCGGTTGGCCGATTCTTGGACCGCGGTTGTCCAGCACAGACACTCCCGGCCTCTGACCAGCGCGCCCAACTCGGACCGAATGGGACGGCCGCACCTGACTCATCGAGCCAGCAGACTCAACGCGGTGACAAGTCAGCACATTGCCCGACGTGTTTTAATCACTGTACATATTACACTTATTTATTGTTTTATTTAAGCACATCCTTTGTGAAGTCTTGAAACCACATGTCAAACAACAGAATCTTCGAAATCTATTCATGAATCCACCCTGACTATTTGAGTTGCATTCCTAATGTTTAGGGTAAGGTGCCTAATTAGCGACCCTTTCCGATTTGCGACCTACCTCCCTACAGAAAAAACTGGCAGGAGAAAACGGGGTAAAAACATCGTCAAAAGGTCAGCCGTACTTTGGTTATCAGATTTAATTATTTTCCGGTCGTCGATGTTTCTGGTGGGACGTTTCAGGTGAGTTTAAATAAAAATGACGAGTTTCTTATCCAAAACGTGTGTGTTTGGGCCCTCTCTGATGAAAAGCGATTCACCTTAGGATGATGCACCTTTTTTATTCTGGATCGACATTCCTTTTTTAATCGATTGCCGTTTTCCCATAGTGAATCGTTCAACTGTGCACAGCATGGCGGTTAAAAATGTGTCGCAACTCATATTTCCTATTTGCGCCTGACATGGTCGCAAATAGCTCAAGAAGGGAAAGAAAGGGGAAAAGAGAGAAATGAAAATGAGGTGTTGCTGAAGCTTGTAATGTGTGGCAGGGGTTGCCAAATGTCGTCACCGACTGCAGGGGTGCCGAATTCAGCGCGGACCTCGAATGTCATACAAGATAGTCCGCAAAATTTGGGTTTCCGACTTCTTTTCGCCTTCGGTGCATCACGTGATCAGTTTTTACTTACGCAAATGTGTTGGATAAACGTTCCTATTCGAGTGATTGAGTGCTTTGCGTATAGGTTACCTTTTTGAGATCATATTTCATCTTTTCAGGCGTCGCATTTTTTGCCATTTTTAATATGGGGAAACCCATTGACTTATTAGCGACCCTCCCCGGTCGCTAATCGGGAAGAGTTCCCTATTAGCGTTTTTTTTGCAATGGTTTGCCAAAATGCTCACTACAAATAAGTTATTGAATATTGGGGCAGAAAATGACCATATTTTAATAGAAAAATGAACGATCTCTTCGAAAATCAAGCCAGGAACACAGTGGCACCCACAGAGCGTGAGTAATGACGGTTCAAATTAAGGGGGTCGCTAATTAGGCACCTTACCCTATTTCCGCGATCTCTCTCTGAATCCTTTTTCGCGCAACTTCCAGTGTTTCTGCTGTGTTTCGTTACAGATGCACTTAATAATTTCACGCATAATGTTTTTCACCTGCCATATCCAGTTATTTTTTAGATTTCCCCAAAAAACACAATATCTATCGCAACGGTTCGTGTTGAAATCACTTGGTCCTAACTACTATTCTACTTCTTATTTAATTATTAAACTTCGAAGCGCCACATGAAGCCATTCATACGGAAACTGACAATATTTTGTAACATTGGTGCCTACTAGCCACATATACATATGTCCTCTGTGTGGCTCAGTGGATAATGCATCCGTCTTCTGACGCGGTTGAAGCGAGATGGAAATGTCACAGCTGGCTGGCATTTGCGTGTTGCTGTATCACAGTGGCTGCAGCAGACAAACGGCGGTTTAACTCTCTATTAAAACGCTTCCACTCGCTCGCAGACATCATGTTTTATATGTAATAAATATACAAGCTTTTAGATAGAAAAGCAATAGCCGGTGCGCATCCATTTTCACTGTTCCAATATGCCGTTAGAAGGTGACGATAGTCGCTTGTAGATATAAAACTTTATCGGAATTCACTGGGATTGTATTGCTTATGCAAGTCCAAATATTTCGGCCAATATTGTTTGGCCTTGGTCACTGGACCAAGGCCAAACAATATTGGCCGAAATATTTGGACTTGCATAAGCAATACAATCCCAGTGAATTCCGATAAAGTTTTATATCTACAAACATAAACCTGGGAAAAAATATGACTCTAAAACAGCAGATAGTCGCTTATACGCACGATTGACTATTGTTGAGTATCCATGACAGATTGGATAATGATGTAAATAATAAACCAATTAGTACAATTCAAATGTATTCAAAAACACACAAAGCCTTCGGCTTCAACAGCCTTGATCATTAGATCTTTAGATCTTAAAGATGAAGATCATATTATATAAAGATCATTAGATCTTTGCCTATGACAGTGGTCAAGGCTGTTGAAGCCGAAAGCTTTGTGTGTTTTTGAATGTATTTGATTTGTACTAATTGGTTTATTATTCACATCATTACGATTGAATATATGTGCGGTGGATTAATGTGCGACTTTTCATTGGCTAGCGGTCGACGGCAGGTTTTGGCCGCGTCTTTATGAGGCCCCGTGTCCAATGTCCATTGCGGCCAGTATCCGCCACACAAGGCCCTATATGCCCCCGCCACGCAGCATGACGCGCTGTAAAATGCCGCCTTTTGTAAGGCTCATTTTTATACTCGATTTGTATATTTAGTGTTGAACTTTGTGACAGTCTGATGGTTGGACTTTTATAGGATTGTTTTACGCGTTGTTACATGGGCACAATGACCGAGAGCCTTTCCGATCAATTTAGCGACTTCAGCGCAGTGTGTATTCCGTTGCAATAATGTTGCCGTCGATGGATGCTGGATGATCACAAGTAGTTATTGCCATTACATTACTGATGTAGCCGTGCCTTAGAAGCTGCTAAGTGCCGTGACATGTATCTGTATGCTGTGACGATGAACGTAGGATGCTGGCCTGTTCAAGTGTATGTGTGTTATGCTGACGCCTTAGTGTATGTAGTATAAATGTTCCGACGAGACCAATCCGGCGAGTCGAATTGCTGAACCCGTGGTGCTGAGCAGCGATTGCTCCGGTGGACTCTGTTCCACCGGTAAACCATAGCTGAATGCTGCTCAATGTACTTAATAAACGTGCTGTTTTGTATGTAAATAAATGTGTCCTGTTTCGCGCCCCATTGATTTTTATACAGGATGCTTGAGTGAAGTCTATTTTCTAATGAATTCAGTGGCTTCCATTTTGAGATTTTCTCACTACAATCGGGGAAGATTGTTCTTCGAACGGTTCCCGTCTAACGTCTTGCAATTCGATGCCTTGCAATGCCTAGATCGCTGGCACACGGGCCAAGCCGCCCTGACGACGTCCATCATAGTCTTGGATGGCGACCAGCTCTTAAACGACAGGTCGGGGGTGACGCCCTCTGCTGTCGGCCAACTAACCTCAGCTGCGCCATCGGTATTTCCTGAGCACGCCGGCATCGACTCTTGGAACGATGACACTAAGCAGTTTCACACAATTCGTGCCTGGACTGACGCTGCACCGCAAGGGGCCAGGCTTGGCTCTCAATGGCCACGGCTCTCAGTAGCCGAGTCTTTCCCACCTGATCCGCCTCTGCGTGACGCTGACCTTAGTTTTCCTCTGCTAAGACCGGAGCCAAATCTTCCAGCCGTTTCTCGCCGTCCGTGGCTCCACTGTCATATCGCGACGCTGCAGGTCAGCGGCTGAGGTGAGCGACGCTGGCAGAACGGGGCCGTTCAGCTGTCTGCAACGGGAGCGAAACGACGGAACGCATAAAAAGAACGCGGCGAATCTCTGAACGGAGAGGTTTCTCTGAATAGAATCCATCACGGTGTTAAGAAATTAATTTAAAGGAAGAAAAGGTGACGACTGCTTGAAGTTTCACCATGTCGTTACAGTGGGACGGTGTTATAGCCACCCCTCCCCCTCCACTTGGAACTCGGCGCTTTCGCAAATATCACTATTTTTGCGACAGTCAGGTTACATCTTTCAGACGGTAATCAACCCCAATTAGCCTTTAGTAGGGCTATGCGTATATACTGGAGGTCAGTAGGTAAGTACATGCATTACAATTGATAGTGCTCTAGGAAAGATTAAAAAATACACAAAAGGCAAAAAACACCTTGATCTATCTTGATCTATGCTGTGGTCCTTACACTACAAGCTTTAATCTGCAAGTTGCGACGCTAGCTTTTTAATCTAGTCACGACATCGAGCTGAAATCAAATTCGACATCATACATAACCGATATCGCTCTCAGGATAGCCAATTTTTCAGTTATAATGAAACAATTTGATTGGTGTTCCGCCATAGGCGGCGGAACGAGGAGGGCACCGGAGCACCGTGCCCCCTTTGATTTTGGCATTTTAACATTAGCCCTATGGCCGTTGCATGGAAAGAATGGGACCAAAAGTCGGCAGTGCCCCCCCCCCCTTTATTGAGGGTGCTCCGCCGCTACTGTATCCCGTACTCAACAGAACGGCTTGATATAGGTATTCGGCATTGTGATCACCAACGCCCACTTCATGTAACGAGCACGTGCTGAGATATCAGTATTAAGTTAAAACAAAACTTGCACGGCAATGAGCAACGTTATCGCCTACATGTAGACGGTTCTCTTTCTACCTTACACACTGGGTCCCTTTGTGCACCTTGCACCCCGCCCAGGGGTGAAGCCGGCGCGGCCGACGGCGCACAAAGACGCCCCCGCCCCGTGCAACCGCGGCGGTTCGCGGAGGAGCGGGCCGGGCACCGCTGGAGCGCTGCCAGCCCCGCCGACGCTTTTAGGAACGTTGCAACATGCGGCGCGATGGCGCAGCTCCAGCGCACGGTACTTAAACTAATACCGACAGTGACATAGCCGCGCATAAAGCACCAGGGTTGACTGGAGAGGGCTGCACATTCCCGAGAGTTCCGACAGATGCTGCAAATGCCGGTTAAACTGAGGGCTCCAGTAAAAGTCCCTCCCCTTTACCTGCTCTGCGACAGCACTCCCATCAGTCATCTCTAACTGCCTCTAAAGCTTAGCTGCATAGAGAATGCTCGGCGACACATAGCTCTAGCTGTAGGAGACATTCTCTGTCATCTTACTCATATAGACCCTATAGGCAACTGAAGGGCTCTCAATTATCCGTATTCCATATACCTACTGAGCCACTGTTAAAAAAGGAAAACGCTTAGTGCCATCACATCGCCTTAGACCCCAGTATCGACAGAGTATTCTCAGGTCGGACCCTCGGGTAGTGTAGGACGTAAAAGGCAGTTACTGAAGTGATGCA